AAAACCTAGATGATTTTTGCCTCAGGACACAAACCCAGTGCAGGATGGTTCAGCTGTTAATTTTTTTTTTTTTTTTTTAAATGGATTTCCAACTTTACTGTCATTCTGTTGATTTTTCTTTTTTTTTCTGCTGGTTCAGAAATGTTCTTTTTTCCCAGAACATGTCCATATGATTATTTATTCCCAGTCCATATGATTATTTATTTTCCCAATAAAGAAGAACGCAGTTTATCCAAGCACTAAAAATTGATTTAGATATTACAAAGACATTTTAGGTACATCCTGTAACAGCTGTAAAGACATTGGCCTGAATTGAATTTGGCTTTAAATTTCCTTGGCATTTTTGCAAATAAGGCTGCCTGGAATAATTCACTCCTGGGCATTTCAGTATCACAAGGAATTTAGAAATAGTAGTCACCATAATTTGTTGGGAAAATTGCTTTCATTTCTTGTTGAGGCATGGAGGGAGCTGTAATGCGGGAGGATACAAATTCTACGTTCTTTTGATTAAAATAATTTTTATAGTCTATTGAGTAATTAAGATTAGTATGTTATATTAATATAAATACAATATATACATTGCCAATAGACTTAAATTTCCAAGAGACAAAGCATTCTATGCTCTATTCTACTAATTTTATAATGTATACTGTAGTAAAATATTTGATATATATAATTTTCTGGAAGAATCTTGCTGATTTTAAGTGTAATGCTTTCAAGACATTAAAATACGAGCTCCTGATTGGCACCTGCTTATCTATGTTTTTCTGTTATCCGGTTGTTTGGTGCTTATCCAATTTTGCTTTGCAGTTTTGTTCATATAATTGGATCCAAGTCCTTTTTTAAACCACACTTTCACTGTGAAAAGATGTCCCAGGATTCCTGATGTTACAAGAACCTTTATTTCACTCTTACAACATCAGATTCTTTTTTTAATTCAGGTTGTGTGTGAAAAGCCTCTGACCTGCTCTTGCCATAGCAGCCACACCTTTTGATTTTACCAAAAGAAAAGGGGGAAAACCATTGAAAATTAGCAGACCTTATTATTAATTTTGGGAAAGTTATCCTTTGGTTTACCACTCTTTTGTCCATCAGCAGGGAAAACATTGAGTAGAAAAATCTCTTGCTGGTAAGAAACTATCTGTTACAGCAAGTCTCTTAAACACTATTGGGAGAGGAAAGATAGAGATTAAGGCCTCATTCTAAAAAAAGCATTCATGGGTACAATAGATAAATTACATTTTTCTACTTATCCTTTAAGTTCTTCGCATTGGAGTGAGTGAAGTGTTGCCAGTTTTTATAGATCTATATTTTATTATGGCCTTGGCTCATGCTGCAGAATTTCTTATTAATGGCACCACGTGAGAGGGATGAGGATCATTTCAAGGTTTTAGGAGATGCAGAACCATGTAGGGCTCAACCTCTACGTTGGAATATGAGTTTGTCCTCCATATCCCCAACAATTTGTCTGTCTCTGCACATCAGCTGAACCCAGGGCTGTCCCTCATTTGCCTCTTGTGCCATCCTTGTGCCTCTTGCAGCTCCAGCAGGCTTTTCCTTATCCTGGCTCCCAGCATGAGCTTTTTCCCAGAATGCTGAAGGCTGCCTGCATTCCAGCAGCACTCATTTCACCCTTCCACCTCTTTTCCATGGATGTTATGTCTTCAGGCAGGACTACACACGTTTTTCCTTTGCTCTGGCTGTTAGTGATGGCTGATACTCAATAATTCATGTAATAATGGGCTAAACTGGGTCTGGTTCTGCTCTGTAGGAATCCCTTTTCACCCTGTATTCACAGACAGACTTCCAAGGAAAATTTCTTTTCCCCAAAGTGTTGATCTGCATCAGCTGCTACTGGCACAAACACATGAAAGCACTCCATGGGTTTGAAATACTCAACTTCCTCCTTACAGTGCCTCTCTCCTTCTAGAGCTGGAAATATCTGTGCAGTTTGGAGTGTCAGCGGATCTGACAGATTAATAAAATACCAAATTAGGGAAGTCTGTCTCAACATCTAAATAGTTTTTGTTCTGAGCATATTGCCAGTTTGTGTAGTGAAATCAGGACTGAGATTCAGGGCTGAAAATTCCCCTCAAATTAAAACAACAACAACAACAAAAAAAAGCAGTTAATTACTGGCAGTAGGACTCTTTCACTGTCTCACATTTGGAAATTTTTTTTGGCTGGAGTCCTACACTGTCTTTTATGACTGAAGTTAAACCAATGTACAGTAGGATTCTACAATAATTCTAATATATACATATAGATTATTAAGTTTTCCCGGTTCCTTATATCTGTGAGAAATCAGGTTGTGATTCATGTCAATCAAATAGCACCCACCTACGTATGTGTGTCTGTGGGCAATGTGGACAAATTAAGATAAGCTTTGAACTACTTTGTAGTATAAGTTTCAAACTATCCTTTGTACAAGCTATAAATGGGGTTTTTTTGAGTATGGAAGAATTTTTAATCACTTAAAAAGGGGAAGTAGGACTAACATGAGCTGAGAGGCTCTACAAAGGCATTTTGAAATATGCTGACTTTGAGTTTGTAATAACTGAGGAAGAGGCCCTATGAAGACAATTTTTAGACATGCTAGCTTTAGGTTGTGAAATGACTGAAAGAAGGGTTGTAAAATGTGTGCTGATTAACAGAATATATATGCTTGCTTAAACAAACTGTATAAACAAAAATAATGCTAGTGGTAAAAAGATATTTTAAAAGAAGTATGGGAGGCTGGAGGGACATCAGAAGACCATCTCGGACCACTTCCCAAACAGATCTTCAAAAACCACAACTGCTTATTATGAAGAAAAGCAAGTAGAAAATAACTGAAAATTTGAGGAAGAGAAGTACCTAGAATGGTATAAGAGACCTGAATTTGTGCATTGCTTAGGGCAGAGAACCTCCGCACCCAGTGCTGTCCTTGCTCACCCTCCTATCGAACAAATTAATAAATTGGATATATTGCTTGATGTATTGGCAAGTCTAGCTTTTAATTTATAAGATATCAAAGAAATGCATTCTTACATGAGCAGAGGTTACATTGTTAAAAATGTATTGGAAGCTGCTGAATTCCCCATTTATATTAGATGGATGATCAGGGAGTGTTTTTTGTAACACTGAATTATCAGATGGACAATATGTGTTAGTTAATATGCACAGGCTTGAAACATTTTCAACAACACCTAGAATACAGCAACATATTTTTTCATTAATTATGCCCCATGTTTTTATTTTTTAAAAAAAGATATGCTACCATTTTTTTTTATTCAGCTCAATTTTCAATGTAGAGTTGTTGGTGTCATCCAAGTTCAGAGCCCTCCCCCAGTATCCTTTAACTTGCTAGGTTTATAGGAGTTACAGGTTTCCTCATATATGCTAGAAAGTTGCTTGACAAATTGTGCATTTGGGATCCATCCAGGTGTAGGATTTTTCCTTAATAGATGTTTAATATGAACTTCTTACTGGAGTGGTGTGTAAATGTGCAGTTCATGGAATCTGTCTCTTGGAATAGACTACATTAAAAGACTTAAAAGTGACATATTTATAAACATTTTGCTGTCAAATGTCTCTGTTAATAGACGGCCATGTGATACCACAAATAGCTCAGGGTTGCATTTATAAAAACCCTGGTAAACATTTACTTTCAAATGCAGTTTTACACATGTTGGTGTCTCAAGCCAGACTGCTTTCACATTACCAAGAATTTTAATTTTTTTTTTAAAACTTTTTTTGGGGCTCTGATTGATTTAATTTTCATCCTGCTCTGTACTAGTGCAAATCAAGTTCAGCTTCAGTGCCCCTGAGTCACAGCAGCTGCACTGATCCCGAGTTCAATTGCAGCCAGGCAGGGACTGGGATTTTAAAGCCTGGCAAGGTTTTAACAGCGCCAGAAGTGCTGGTATTGGAAACCATCAAAGCACCTCTCCTTTATGTCCCTCCTGCTCTGAAATACCCTACAGAGGCAGTATCCCAGGTACTGGAATCCTTTAGCAAAGAGATAGATTTGGGCTAATTAGCCTTGATTTCCAGCAGGGGTAGTTGGGGCAGAGCTCTGAGTACCTGTGCTGTGAGTCTGATCCATATTCCCAATCAGCCTGCTTTTGTTGATACATCACCTTTGTTTCAATATTAATGTACAGCATCTTTGTAAAAGTACATTTATAGTCTTCTAATATATAGTAAACATACAGTAGTTTATAGGAACTTCTATAATACCAATTCAAATGTCACAGCAATTATTTAGGGTCCTTCCATCACCATCATTCACCTCCAGTTGCTTACTAATAAAATTGTTGCTCTGCAGGCTTTTGTCACAATCCTTGCTGAGTCCTAGAATTAATATCAAGATAATTAGAAGTGCCAGATGAAAGCCTTTTCTCCTATTGACAAATCATTCTCCTCCATATTGTTGTTTTCTTCTATTGAGAAAAAAATCATTGAAATGTTTCAAAAGGCATCTCCATTGTGAATTTCACCTATGGGAGGTTCAAGTGTTTGCTGTGTATTCAAACTCTTAAATCATATTACTCAACCTGCATTGCAAATCCCTGGAGCTATCCACTAAACCAAATAACGTATTTCTTTAGGAGGCAGGAAAAGCAGGAGATATCAAAATATGTATTATTAAAATCCATTTCAGTGTGGGTGCAGTTTTATACTGGGTTCAGCACTTCATTTGAGCAGAGAAGACAGTGCTTTTTTGGTAGTGATATCACCATGTATTTATCCTTGATTAATCCAGCAGTGAGAACACTGAAAATGGAAACACTTGTGAGAAGGCCAAAGAAACTTGAAAAAAAAATTCGGGGTGTGGTTACAAAGACTAAGTAGAGAGGGTCCTGCTTAAAGATTACTCTGTGCCCATTTTGGGGGGACCAGCATTAGTTTTTGCACAATGTTTGCTCGTTTTCAGTGATTATTGAATGTGTAATGCAATAAGTGTGCATTTGTGTGAGGAGGCAAAGTGTAACGCTGCCTGTGTCTGCCCTGTTTAGTGCTGAGCATCGGAGAAGGTGGATTCTGGGAAGGCAGCACCCGGGGACATATTGGCTGGTTTCCTGCAGAGTGTGTGGAAGAAGTTCAGTGCAAACCAAATGAAAGCAAACCAGGTAATCACATGAAGCTCCTGTTGAACCTTAATGTGAGAAATTCCACGTGTCTGTCCAACAGAGACATCAGGGCCTTTGTGCACTTCTAGAAATGGGGGAATTGGATAAAGCTGAGCTATTGAATTAAAAATACAGGTGGGTTTATTGATAAGATTTTACTGTCCAAGCAAATAGACTTTATGATGAACTATGCTGGGAAGTAGCAAAGCTTTTACACAGAGCTGTGTGCAGACATTTTGTATAGGATTATGTTGCTTTTTATTTTCTAAAGTCTGGGAGAATGTCTAATGAGACAATTAAATAAGGGAAGAAAAACCGGCCAGTCATCTCCCAATCTGAGGGAGTCATTTAGCTCTTGTTCACAGCCCTGTTGACCTTTTCCTGAATGCTAGAGGAGGCATCCTTTAGTGGGATATCCCATACCTATCCTTACTTGATGACAAAGGAAATGGAATCCTCCTTTTTCAGACAAGTGTATTGCCAAAAGTGACTTTAAGCAAGGAGCCTTTACAGTCCTGGTGTAAGAAAAGAAAAAGAAATCTACATTAAAGCAGGTTCTTTTAAGAATTGCGTATCATCTCAGCATTTCTCTGCTTTTAAGAATTAAGATGTGAGGACATCCTCTCTAATTAAAAGCTTATTATAAATGAGCTCTGAGAATATAATTAATGTTCTCCAGGAGTGTATGCAGTTTGAAATCAGCTATTGATGTGTTTTTAGATCTCTGTTGTATTGATTAAGAACTTCTGGCATTGCACAGATGATATGCTAAAATTTATGCATTGTATCATTAATTTACAGGGGTTTTTCTTTTATGCATGTTGTTATAAATTGCAAGGTATCCTTTTTTTTTTCTGTGTGGAGAGATTGTGCTTCCTTTTCTATTTCCCTTTTGAGAGAGGAAAAGAGGAGGAGGCAAAACCAGATCTAATATTTGGAGAGAATGGATCCAGGCTCTGGGAACAGAGGAGAAAACAGTAGTGTAACTCTTGAAAGGGCTTGAGAAAAGTCAGAATTTAGAGATGGAGGGGTATTAAACAAGAGGAAGATTGAGGCTGGAATTGGCCAGTGTAGGTACAGTAACCCTGCATTAAATTTGAGTTGTCCATTTATTTCCAAATCTGAAGAGAATTCTGAGGAAGGCATTAAGTGAAGTTCTAAGATAAGTTTTGCATATTTTTAATGATTTTGAAGAAAATGTAACAAAACTTGATTGTCACAAATCCTTAAACACTTCCTTGAGAATTACTTCAGGAGGTAAATTCACAATGTGACAGGACTGCCTTAATGGATTATGATTTTTTTTTGAGCAAGAATTTCTTTGATCATTCAAAGGAACACAAAAATTAAGAAAATAATTGTCACAAGAGGAACAAAAGGATTATGAAATCTGGAAGCAAGACGAGAATATAAACAGAAGCATGTTACAAATTTTCTGACATGAAATTATGAAGACTTATGCCATGTGTCTGGCAAAGCACCAGACATTTACTGTAATTTATAACTATTGCTTTCTTTCTTATTGTTTTCCTGTTTGCTTATGGTACAGAGGGAATAATAATGTTAACATAGCTTAAGGCTTTAAATATGCCATTTTTCTACTCTAAAAAGGATGAAAATGTAATTAAATGGGAACAAAAGGGACACATATTCTCTGGCAGTGAACTTGTGCACTCCCATATTTTGCTGGACTGTCTCAAAAAATGTCCAGCGCCCAGAATGAGGTTCAGTGCTTCTGTGAGTAATGTGATAGAGGCTGGAGCTGGGAGAGAAATGAAATATGTGGAATGCACAATATGTGCCGTATTATTATTGAAATACGGCATGGAGTGAAAGTAGCTGATCACAGAGTTGCTCTGTGCATTCCCTCTGCATAGGAAACAATGGAAATGAAAAGGGAAAGCTTTATAAGCAAAAATCAGCCAGTATTCCCTCTGAGTACAAATGCAGAAGTAATTTAGAAAAATGTGTTAGGCATGGTGAAATGATTAGAAATTAAATGAGGTCTGCTGGGATTGCTGAAAGAACATCAGCTGAGAAACATAACAAACTTGTGCCACTTGCAAGAATTTGTATTGTGGTCTTTGCAAAGCAGCAGAACTTCTTATGATAATGATGTAGAAAGTAGATCATTTCAATGTGGAGTAAATGAAGCTCAGAATCAGCCTTTTCCACACCAGCACCACAGCAACAGTTCTTTCCCTTCAGTGAGACTTAGGAACATTTCTCCCAGCAGCTTTCCTTTGCTGCTGTTTGAACAATTGTGTTTAATAGAGGCTTGTCATTTGCACACCATGAGTGAAGGAAAGAGGAATAGTTTTTGGAAAACACAAACCCCAATTAAATACTCCAGGCCCAGTAAAACTACTGGGCAGTTTCATGTCAGGCTGATGTATAATCTCCCTTCTAAGGAAAGTTCAATTTTTAAGGAACCATCCTAACTGTTCTCTGGAGGTGGGCAGGATGGAACAGCACCTGGTTCCTGTGCTCTCTTCAAAGATACCATGCCAGCTTGGCAGGTTCTGTTTTCCAAAAAAAATCATATTGACTGGCATTAATTCTATATCCCTTCTTTAATCCTTCATTAATTGAGACTTACAGGGATTGCTCCATTGTTTTGCTAGGGTTGATGCCAGGCCTATGGGCTCCTAATTATCCAGGTTGTTTCATTTGCCTTTTAATAGCAAGCACAGGACCTCCTGCTTTCCAGTCTAAAGGAGTTCCCTTGACATTTTGAGATCCAATGGAAAAAGAACAACAAAGAAAATAATTATTATGGTTTGCTAAATTCTTCTGTCTGCTTTTAAAAAATTCTTACAGACAAAACCTTTGTGCTACCTTGTCTTAAAAAGTGTAGCATTTGTAGACAGTTTTTAACATTCTCCAGAATTACTCTGAGAGTAGAAGTATTCCCTCAGATGAGGTTGGCACATCATCTTGCCTTTTACCTGCTCAAACACAGAATACAAATGTCACATATTTACTCTTTCTGCATTACAATAATACAAGTTACCTTGTATTATTCAGTAATGAGCCAATTCCATTCTGAAATATCTTTCTATTCCAAAATATGTTAAAATATAATTATTTTTTTTGCTAAAATGTTCTGGGTAACTTGAGAAAAAGTTTCTCCTGCTTTAATTTAGATGTTTCTGGTGCTTTTCTTCCATCATAAAGAACAAACACATGAACTTGAGAGACTTACTACATAAATACTCACTGTTACACTTGTGATTTTATGCTCCAAATCATTCAGGATTCAGGGCTATCTGCTCACAACTGAGGTGAAGTATTCAGTTAACTACACTCCAACTTTATCATTTATTCTCCCTCCCTCCCTAAAGTGCCTGGAGAACTCCTGGATTTTACAAATGATACTGAAATGAAGGTAGACCCAGCGTGTCTGAGAGATTCTTGCTGTCTTTCAACTCTTGGTTGAAAGAGTCCTCAGTGCACCTTTACTTGAGTTCCAGCCTCATTTTTAATATTGTCTTAGGATGAGTTTTCATTCCATAGCCTCCTTCATGCTGTTTTCCATCCTGTGGCCTTGGGATACACCTTGTTGTAGCTGTAGGAGTGCTGGAAGTTTATTTCAGACTAGATCTGATGTGGGCAGGTGGCTGCTGTGACCATTAGCAGTTCTCAAGAGCTCATTTTTCCAGGAAAGGATCCGATTTGTGCAGCCTGAGCTGTGCCAGTCCTGGGGGTTGTGGCACACACGGGAGGCAGCACCCACAGGGCACATTCCTGGCCCTGTGCTGCCAATGGACCTGTGCCCGTACTGACCTCCAGTCACAGCAGGCTCTGCCAGGCCTCCAAACTGGCATTTCCTGTCCAAAGTGGAACAGAGGCATGGAATATTTGGGTCAGGAAAGACCTCAGGGATCACCAAGACCACCCTGTCAGCCAGACTGAGTGCCACGTCCAATCCTTTCCTGAGCATAGTGCCTGTGCTTTTGTTCGGTATCCCTTATTCCTGAGTTTCCAGCAACCCAGGACTAGCAGAGTTCCCTTGCAATTTCTTTTTTACCTGTGTAACCGTACACAGGTGTTAAAAGCAGAAACTGCAGCAATCCCTATCCAGCATTCCCTCCCGGTCCCAGAAGTTACCAAACAAGTCCAAGCTGTGTTAATGAAACACATCCTTTTGCTGTTTCTGGAGCACAGAATTTTCTGGTCTCCACATCCTTAGTTTTAAACGCCCTGTGCATTCAGTAAAACCAGATTTGTTCCTTTTTCCACCATCCCTTTTTTATAATTAGCACAACACCTTCCCAGGCAATAGAGCCAGCCAGGCTGCTAGAAAATGGATTTGCCTTCCTGCAAGAAGGAAAAATGCTTTACTGTGGATTGAGGAGCTGACATCTGTACCGGCCTTCCAAAAGGACAGGAGTCTTGATTTCCCATATTTGCTGTCTGGACATAATAGCTATCCATATATGCCTTATCCCATATAATTGATTCTATGATTTCGTGTTAAACACAGCAGTGAAGGGGAAAAAACACAGAAAAAAATGGCTTTTCATCCAGCCTAAATGACTTACCTCTAGTAAATAACCCAGATTAGCAAAATCCTTTTAAACAAATTATTCTTAATCTGTTACAATCATTTCTGGCTAATTTTTACCTAGAAAAACAACTGAAGAATAAATAGAAAAATTGTGGTGATTACTAGAACTCCGAAAAATTTTATGCACAAATAATTTTGGAAACCACTAGAAAGGGGTGGGTTTCAATGAGATAGAAGAGATGTTGTCTTAACAAATGAGCACATCAAGGGTTTTGATAATAAATTTTGATAAATTCTCCTTCCACAAGATTTCACTTTGAGTAGGAGGTACCTGTGTATCTGTGATAGAATTATTGTGCAAGTTAAACTGTTTGGCAGTTAAGGACAGCAGTTAAGGAAAAAACATTGCTGCAGCTGGAAGGACTAAATGGAGGAAATATAAAATAAATTTATGTATGTGAGGGAAAGATACTTTTGTTGGGAAAGTTAA